AAACGGCACCCTTAGCGCCAGTATATACTAAATTCGAGGGGGAGCGCGTGCCAATAAAACACGATTTTTTTGGTCAAACTTTTTCTGAAAAGTGCTTTATTAAACGCTTCTTTTGTCTGTTTTTCTGCTAAACTTGCCTGTAGCGTAGGACATTTGATCGAATTAGGGTCCTTATTGTGAGTTGGCATAGAAATCATTTTGGTCGACATAAAAAGACAGGCCAATAAAAACTTCCGAAAATACCCCCGCTCGAGTTTTTTTGAAAAATCCCTCACCTTTTCTACGCCGCGGGAGAAAATCTTAGATCCGCCCCTGCATACAACGATGAATTCAACTACTTGTAATTGCCTACCAGAGTCTGCCCATTCCGAAAAATTTTGTTTACTGACTCCAAAAAACTGTTGTGGAGCAAGGTTCGAGCGGCCTTTTTGACCAAATTATGATCCTTATTTCGCTCAAAAATACGAAACTTTTCAGTCATTACCTTGACCAAAAATTGAGCGGTTTTTGAATGTTTTCTGGCAAAACAAAACAGTTCGAATTTTGTCCAAACCGTTCACAAACAATTTGATGGGCAAACCAAGTTCAAACAACCAATTGTTTTTTTTGTGAGTAAGAGTAAAAAATGGAATGCAAGTTATTTTTAAAAAAAAATTCATTAAAACCAAAAAATTAAAAAGACCCTATTTTAGCTGTCTTTTACAGACTTTGTTGGAGCTCTTTTTGCAAAAAGAGGTGCTTTTAAATAGTGTTAAAGGCGGAGCGCTTTGCGCGTTGAAAGGTTCGAGTTATCCAGTGACTTACTGAGACGTCTAATAGCACGCTCGATTGCAACAAACCCAAATTATCAGCGCAGGTTTAAAACGCACAAAACTTAACATTGACGACAAAAAAATGATGGAGAAGATTGAACGATACAACAATCAACTTCGTGATAAGACATAAAAATTGATGCAATTATCGTTACATAAAATGTACGGCGCAACATTTTCCTTGCATTTTTTAACGTTTTTTAAAGTTGTTTTTGTAAAATACATTTTGTCTTCCACTCTTCAAGCTCTGTCTTCCACTCACGGAGTATAAAACTTTCGCAACACAAATTTTTTGCCACTAAAATTGCAACAAAGCAGAAAAAAACACCTTAAAAAATTAAAGTACCATTAATGAGATTTCGGAATGATAGAAATGCAACGAGCTTTCATTATGATAGAAAGAAGCCAAATGTTCAAAAAAATTCTTTCTTCTAAAGTAGCCGAAAATTTTCGGTATGCAAAAAATAAGTCTCGACTAGAGTCGAACTCACGGGCTTTGCAGTCTCAAGCGTGAGTTTTAGAGCAACTTGGAACAAAACAGAAAATTCAAAAGATTTTGCGCTACGGAAGCTAAGCCGACAAAAAATAACAGAATAACAATAGTCAGAAAAAGCACGAAAACTTTAGTTAACAAAAATAAACAGTCCAGTTTAGATTCAATGCACAAACTTTTGCTGTCTCAAGCATTTGTGTTACCTCTACGCCAGATGATCCGGACGGTTCAGTGAATTTGAACTTTAAATTATCAAGCGGTAGCAAAGCTGAAAATACCTGGGCAGCATTTAAGAAGAAACAAAACTAAAAACTACTAAAAAAGTTTTTAAAAACCCTTTCCCCTCCGAGTACACGAAGGCACACAAAAAGTTTTGTTCGGTCCTCAAACGATGCTAAAAGAGGCCACTAAGTTGATATGAAAAAAAAAGAAAACAAATTAAGCCGGAAAAAAACAAATTTAGAAAAATCAAAAAATTAAAAGTCGAGTTGGTAAAATTACAACCAATGTAAATTTCAAATTCGATTCATGCAAATTTTTAAAATGCTAAAACACCAAAACAACTACAAGGAAAACTGTTTTTGCAAAACTAAACAATCTTTGATGTTTGCCGACTAAGCCGACAAAAGATAAGCAAACAAATATTAGGCCTTCAATTTTATTTGAAACAGAAAACGTTGTTTGAAAAAAAAACAAGTCCTTGTCAGATTCGAATCCCAGGCTTATTCATCACCTACAAGCTAAATATGCTTGAGACACTATGTTTCTTGAAATCATTGTGAATCAAGGAACCAACAGGAGTCCAGATGAGTCCTGTGAACAAAATTTTTTATGAGAAAAAAATCTGGTACCAGATTGCAAAGCACTTGCTTGTCGCAAGGGTATTAATCAATACAGGCAAAGGTGGATCTACGATTTTCTCGAGAAGGATTTTCAAAAAAACTTTGTCGACCTTTTGTTTAGCTTCATCGAACTGACATTCCAAGCTCTCCTAAATCATTCCAAGCTCTCCTAAATCACGACCCTAGGATTTTCTCGACGGGGGAGGCGGATTTTCAAAAATTTTGAAACTTTTGTCGACCTTTTTTTTAGGTCGACCAAATTGATTTTTCGAGCTCTCCCAAAGCACTGTTCTTTTCCTACTTTGGCCAAATTTTCTGCGCCGTAGGCAAAACTTTGAAAAAACAGGCCAAAAAAGGCGTTTTTAGGCACTTTTTGGAAAATTTTGACCAAAAAAACGCATTTTTTCGGCGCGTCCTCCCCCCTCAAAACTAGTATATATTGGCGCCCAAGGCGCCTTTAGAAAATTTTTGGGGTCCATCGCCAAAAATGGATGTCTCAAAATAGTACAAAGGGGGAACCTTTGGGTCGGCAGGGGGTCGAATCCCTGAGGGAAAGGGCGTCCGCCCCCCGTCCTCCCCTAAATCCGCCCCTGATACAGAGCTTAGACTTTTTTCTGTTAACTCAAACTGGACAAAATTAGGCGTTTACTGGCGATGCAAGACTTTTGTTGAAAAAATATACGCCCGTATCAGAGGTTTTTCACATATCTGTTTGGAGGAATAACCAAATTGTAAGGATAAATGAAAACTGATTTACTCTGAGACACCTGGGAAAGGATACTGGAACCAGCTCTAAACCAGTATTTATAAACCAATTAGATTATTGATAAAACTATCACTATAAAATATTACTAACTAACCAATCATATTCTATCTCTAACATTTACACTTATTTTTAAGTGCTGAAACTTCTTGTAGTTTCAGCACCAGAACAATTTAAATGAAACTTAGAATACAGTTGTTTCTCCTTCTGGCAACTAACTCGCATAAACCAGTATACACTTGATCTATTGAGACTAGGAGATATAAGACTAAGATTAAGATTGGTATGAGACTAAGAAGTTGCACGAATCTATTCGGCCGAAATTAAGATAGAGTGACGAGCAGATGGTATACGTTATCCGAAGTTACTCTATGAGTACAGACCAAAGGTCATAACTCAATACATCTTAAGTGAATATAATGATGCTCTCTCAAGTGATGGTTATGTCAGATTATTTCCTACGTTTGCCTCACATAGAATGAATGATTTCACCTACAAAAAAGATTTCACCTAAAAATTTTTATTACAACAATTACATTAAAAATGTCACGTACTATATTGTATAATCATTTTGCCCTTGAGGTTCTTTGTGGCGCTCCGGTGCAGCTCATGTGCGAGTACCATATGTGGGGGTTCAGTGGTGGGAGTCAGATGGGTGCTCACAGCCGCCCACTGTGTCTCCGAACTAGAAACGGGCAGAATCCGTAAGTAGCCCCCCCCCCTCACTTCATTCGGCAAAGTAGACAAGCGGAAAAGTGGGTAGTCATTGCCCGGGTTGACCTCCATACACCGAAAATGGTTATCATTCAATTCCATACATCAAGTGTGTGGGAAAATGCTTGTCATATAATTTTCATACAATTTAAACTAATTTCTGCGGCTATTTGATTCTAATAAAACTATCTGGTGTTAAAGATCAGAAGTTTTCGTTTTTTGAAAAAATCCTTGTCATACAATTCCCATATATGGAAATTGTACGACTAGCATTTTTTTGATGGCGACACAAAAAATTGCCTCAAAATTTTTTTTGCTTTTTTTTTCAACCGCAAATCGTTTTTTTGTACGCAAGCAAACATTTTCCAAAAAACTTTTTTGCATGCAAAAATAATTTTTTTGTGTGCATAACGTAGTCCTGGATACACTTATGTTGGGATTTTTTTTTCCTTTTCGCTTTATAATTTTTTCAAAAACGCTGAAAATTCCTATTTTTTTGTATGGCGTGTTTATGTATGCCTTGATCAATGTCTGATAATTTAAGAATTCAAATTTTTTAAATAATCGTCGTTGAAAAAATTCGCCAAATTTTAAAAGTTTTTTTTTTTTGTTATATCATTCGTTATTAATGTTTCTCATATATGGAAAATGTATGATCAGAAGTTTTGGTCAATCCGGGTGGCACTTTTTGTTGAAATTAAAACAAAAAATTCACCAAGCGATTAACTAGGTTTTCTTTGCTTAATGCATTTTTAGAATTTTGACCCATAGAAAAAATAAATTAGGTAACCATAATCATGACAGCTCGTATCGGAGGGATGCCCTGATGCCCTTTAACATCTTACAGAGGAGTGCTTTATTTTGTTTGTAGTTTTTTGATTTTATTCAAATTATCCTCCCACACGCTAATTAAAGTACATAGTAGTATATTTAGCACCAAGTGAAGTCTTAAATAAAACAAATAGTGCATTGAGTTTGCATGATTTTCTAGGGCCGCATTAGAGAGACTAGATTTGGATCTGAGCCGGATTGAAAAATGTTTTCAAATATAATAAAAATTTTGAGCCGGATAAAAAAGCTCTCAGGTGGTTTTAGAAAAACTATCTATAAAGAAGTCGAAGCTTATTTGAACAAAAAAAAAACATCCGACTAGCACAACAATTCCATCACTTTATTCGAAAGTGAAACAAATTTTGTCCAAAGAGAGGCAGCACTTACAATAAACTATGAGATTAAATAACACACTGATAAGCAATGCGCAAAGTTGAAAACTCTTGTTCTAAATCCCACAAAAGGCTCCTGATATGGATAAATAAAAGCATAGCTTGTTTTGTTCGAATTAATTGACAATAAGAATATGTGGGAAAAAAATTTAATTCATTACATATCCAAGTTTTGCTTTAAAATCAGAAAATAGTTAGATTGAGCATTTAAAAAGCAGAGCATCCAAAAAAAAAGTTTACAAAACATGTTTAATAAAACAATAGCCGGTTGTTGTTTTTTGAACTAAATTTCCCGTTTTTTGAGTTCAACGTTTTGAATGGAAAAAAAGGATCTTGTTAACTATTTCCTCCCTTATTGCAATAGGGCTGAAACCTTTAACAAGGTACATAATTCGTATATGCTTAACTGTTAAGTTCTTTCTTTATAGGGGGGGAAATTCATTTCAAAATATCATAAGGGGGAGATAGTTAACAGAAGATCCGAAAAAAGTAGCGCGTACACAGTAACTAATAATCATGAAAAAAATTGAACAAAAAGAGTGATACAATGATTAATAGCAAAAAGTTCGAACAGATGTAAAAGTCTGAAAAGAGCATATGAGCAAATAAGCAAATTCTGAAAAAATTTCCAGGCGAAGATAATTTTTCCGACAAAATTTTTTTCGCTAGATTTTTGAAGATTATATATATCAAATTGGGCAACTATTCCACAAAAAAACAAAGAGACATATAATTGAAAAGGCGACCATGTTACCTATAGGCTTGTACAGTGCACTGTTTGATGCACAATTTCAACAACATCAAGGCATATATATGTTGAACGCATATATATGAGACAAAGAAAACGACAAGAAAGTTAGAACATTCCAGAAAACAAAAGTGAATTGCCTTTAACTCATGAACACAAAAACTTGGTAATATTATTCCCAGCCAAAGGAATCATGTCGAAGCAACATCATGCGAGCCTAAGGAAGAATACAAAAGTCAAGACTTGACTTTTGTTCAAAGCATCCCGTTGCTTTAGACGGAAAACACCCAGCAAATTACCTCCTCATACAACATGTTCACATCTCTAATGAGCTTTCCGCACCCGAGCATACACGCAACACACTTCAAGCTGACTATTGGATTCTCTCAGCTAGATCTTAAATACGTAAATTGTACAATAGTTGTTACGACTGCCGACGCCAGCTCGCCTATGGACTCCAACCTGAAAAGTCTCCTCTCCCATCATTTCGATTTACATCAGATAAGCCATTCCCTTTTCAGCAAAGTGGTCTTGACATTTTTGGACTCTTCGCGTCAAACAATTCAACCACCTATAACAAACGGTATGAACCGATTTTTACCTGCATGACCACTCGCGGAATTCATCTGGAAACGTGCCATGACCTAGCATCCGACGCAACTCTAACAGCCCTCCGCCTCTGTCTTCCGAGAAGAGGCACCCCTTCAGAAATCCGCTCTGACAACGCAACGAACTTCACAGCAGCAAAAAAAATAGAACTGATGACCACCATCGACAGCTCCTCGATGAACTACTTTTTTGGAGAACACCAGATATCTTGGAAATTCAACCCAGGCTGTGCACCAAACTTTGGTCGGGTCTGGGAAAGTAGCGTCAAAAAACTCTCTTTACGCCATCATTGGATCTGAAGCCCTCACAAAAGAAACTTTCAACACCTTGTTGTGCGAGATTGAACAATTTATGAATACACGACCCATCACGTTTGTATCGTCTTCTCCCTGCAAAATCGAAGCCCTGACCCCTAACCATTTCCTTCTCGGAAGAATAATTGCCAGAATGCCTCCAAAAATTAATTCTAAGCCATTAACATTGATGAAGCAAAGGAAATTTGCACAGTAGCTATCAGACCATGTTTGGAACCGCCTATTTAAAGATTTCATCCCAAATCTGCTTCTTCGACGAAAATGGACATCCAAAACTCCGCCTATTTCAAACGGACAACCCGTTTCGATTTTAGAAGATCTAATTCCACGTAGATTAGGCCACTAGGTCTCATAGAATCACCGATCTCATCAGGCGACAATGTAATACGACAATACAACGCTGGAACCCGCCATGGAAGTGTTCAAATCCCAGCATTACTCTCGCTCCTGTTTGTTCAGACTTCTACACTCAACAACCCGCGCCAAAGAACAGCGATCAAACGGAGCATCCTCTCCAACAATTACATCTTGAAAAGTAAGAACGGAAGAGTCTGCCAGCTTTGTATTCCTTAACGAATTTAGACATACAGCAACGACGATACCCCGATGCAAGAAATACGTTTTGTATGACAACGACACCTGATACACAACAACAGCTTGTTTGCCTCATAAAGTTTTTTTACAACGTTCGTTTATGCTCTCATCTTCTCTACCTAAATTTCTGACTAAAACCAGTTTTCTTCAACCTGTAATTACTTGGATAACGACAACGACTAGTCGATTTTCTTCGACAAGGAACTGCGGCAAACAACGACCAGCCAGTCTCCTTAATTCATCAGATCTGAATTCTACTCCGGAACATGATCAACTCCGGAACATGATTCTACTCCGGAACATGAAGATGTACATAGAAAGTAAGAAAAGCAAGTAAGGTTGTAAGAAACGTTGTTTAGGGGAAGTTGCACTTTCCGATTACAAGCTACTTGCTCTCGACATCTTGACAAGATGAGGATCGACCAGCTCTTCCTATCAGCAGACTTCAACTTTTTTTGCGTAGTCGAACTTTTGAACACTGAGTTCAGGACAACAGAGAAACCTCAACTTGACATCCTACGAACCTCATCTTGACAGCCGCCGACTTCAGCTTAGACAGCCAACTCGACAAGCTAGCACACTCACCTCGACATAGCTTAGGACTAAGCTAATGGACACCCCACCCTAACCCCTCCCGATTTTTCATTTTTGTTTTGCAATTGCAAAATAGAGCCGACTGTACAGTGCACTGTTTGATGCACATTTTCAACAACATCAAGGCATATATATGTTGCACGCATATATATGCGACGATGAAAAACGTCAAGAAAGTGAAAACATTCCAGAAAGACATAAGAGAATTGACCTAAGCTCGTGAACACGAAAACTTGGAACTATTATTCTTGATATTTGTTATGAGCTTTTGAAACAAAACAAGGAAACTAATTAAATAGAAAAACTTGAGATAAAACAGACTCCACAATAATTCGAGTTTATAAGGCGAACTGGGAACGAGCATGGAATGTGATAACTGGTCTCGACATCTCGACAAATAATGACCGTTTTGGGCCATCTGCAATGATATTTATTTTTTAAATGAGCTGGATCTTTTAATGAGCACTTAGCAACATCGCAGACCTCTAGATGAGCCTTAACATCTACAATGAAAACCAGAGACGCTATATCAAACAAATGAAAGCAAAGAGAGACTTTAAAAGATTAGCTGAAATCAAAACTTTTTATAGTGCTTTAACAAATTCACGACAAAGAAGATGTATTAATTGATCTAAGACAAGAGAAAAAGTCAAAAACAGACGATTGCTGACAAGTATCACAAAATATTCCAAGCAACAGCTATTTCTAACTATGGTGTTCGTAATTTCTTGACAATTAAATAGCTTGAAGTCTTCAAACCTCAATATATTATAACTGAAGTTTCAAATTCATCCAAAATTATGACTGAAAACTCTTCAATATGATTTTAAGTCATTTTTTTTATGATACCTGATTTTGCGTTAAAACGAAAATCGGAAACGGAAATACTACCTTCTACATGTTCGGAA